CTTGTGTGTAGCCGGCGGGGGTGTTGGTCCGAGAGCCAGGGACGAGGAGCGGGGTCTGCATCCGGGCGGCGCAGCCCGGCGCCCCCGCCCTGCTCGGCAGCACGAACCGGGCCCGCACGGCCTGCCCGTGCACCAGCTCCCGGTGCCTGAGGCCGCCTGCGCGCTCCTCTTGGCGCGGGCTCTCGGCGGCTGGGGCCTCCGCGAGGGCTCCTCCTCTGCGGCCGCCCTCGTCCTCCCCGTCCGTCTCTGCGTTCCCGGTGCCCGTGGCACGTGGCCAGGCTTCGGCAGGGGCGTGCGCAGCGCCGCAGGAGGCGGCACAGTCCTTTATCTCAAGCTGGCCTTGCCGTCTGCCAGACCAAGAGCCCGCCCCCTGCGTCGCACCACCAGGCGACAAAGGAGATCTCCACGCGAGGAAGCACCACCAGCAACAGAAGCGTCAACAGAATCGCTGGGTGAGCGTTCGGCTTCATGCCCAGGCGAACGCGTCGTCCGTGGAGAGTTCACAGCAGCACAATCAAGACCCTGAAATAAGGACCGCTTCGAGCTCAGGAGGGGCTCTGATTTTCGGGCCGTTCCTGAGATGCAGGTCGGGGACCCTCGTCGTTGTCGAGGTTTGTCGTGGTCAGAAAAGCGCCCCTTCGTTCCCGAAACGCTCCGCCCTCGATCCTCGGGCCTCGATCCTCGACCCTCGACCCTCGACCCTCGATCCTCGACCCTCGATCCTCGACCCTCGACATCCGACCCTAGACCATCGATCCTCGACCCTTGACGACGACGACCCTCGACCCTCGATGACTGCATGCCGGGGCACTCGTAGCCATAGGCTCTTGCTTTCGCACCTGCGTCTCTCACCGCACTTGGGCCAGAGCCTGCGGGCCTGCGGGGCTGCGGGGCGAGGGGGGCTCGGGGACGGCGATGTGGAGCGCATGGGCGGGGTCAGGACGTGCCGCCGCCGGCCAACCTCTACGAGCTGATCGGGGTCGACACCGACGCCGACCCTGGCGCCGCGGGGGCGGGGCGGGCCGCGAGGAGACAGTTTTTTTTCCTCGGGGGTCCGGCGACAACCTGGATTGTTGGCCCCGCCCGCCCCCCTCCCCCCCCTCCCTTCCCCCAGGATAGCGTGACCTTGTGGGTTGCGCAGGCCCGGCGCGCGCGGGCACACGCGGGGCTGCGCAGAGCGGAGAGGTTCTGTTCTCGGCCGTCACTTCCTCCCCCCCCGTTCCCTTGGCGGATCACCCGGGCGTTCGCCGAAACTACCGAGGCTCTCTCACACGAAGTAGGGAACGGAACCAATGAGAAATGGAACTATATTGGGAATCGAAGAGCTTCGCTCGAAGATTTGATGTACTCAGGAGCCCCTCGGCATTTGATCAACCACAGCGTCGGCACAAGCACACGTGTGCGTCAGCACACGTACATACATTCATCAACAAATCATACAGCACTGTGTGACTGCAATAACGAAGCATGACATGTGAAACTACCGGTCCATTGGCACGGATCCTGTACCTTTGACGCAGGGGGAAGAAAAGGGAACCCTTCTGGCCCTTCTCCCGGAAGCATATGGAAGTGCTCGCAGCCTCGCCATCACCTCTCTTTCTCCCGTGTCATCTACCATCATCAATATCATGATTAGCTCAAGCCTCGAACTCGGTGTTCAGAGAGGCCGTCTGTTCGAATTCCCTCAGAACTGGATCCTTGGCGTCGTCAGGTCGCGCCTGTACGTGCACTGGCTCTGGGTGCTGGCTGTCCGCCTGAGCTTCTTGATCTCGGGCACTCTCTCGTCGTTCTCTCTCGGCTCCGTCGTCACTGCTTCAGCTCTCTGCTCTGCCATCGTGCGCGCATCTCGTTGCACACGAACCTCGTCCATCAGCTTCTGCTCTGTCGTGTGTTTCAGCCAGCACGTCCTCTGCCTGGTTTGCTCGTCCTTTGCGTAGTTCTCAGTCTCCGCGTCCTCTGCCTGGTACGCCTCGTCGAAGTCCGCCGCTGCCTCGTCCAGTTCTTTCTCGGCTTGAGCTCGTTCTTTCTGGCTGACCTTCTTGCCTGCCGTGAGCGTCGCGTCATACTTGAGCGCGTGCGTGATGCTTCTCAGCTTCTCCACGAACTGGCGACGCACCTGCAACTTCGTCAATCCGTCTACCAGCTGCTGGTGCGTGTTGGTCCACCACCAAACTCCTCCGAACTCGCGCATCTTCGCGTTGACCTGCAGGATCTCGATGCCAGTCCTGCGCTCCGTCCAGCCGCCTGCGGCCGCCTGGAAGTTCGCTTCGTCGTACAGCGCCTTGCAGTCCGTGATGCACGGGCTCCGTCCTGGCACCTGCAGCATCTCCTTGCCCGTCAGCTGCAGCGTGGGAAACAACATCGTCGTCAACATCGTCTTCGCGAACTCCAGCGCGTGCACCGCGTTGGCCGCGCTCTGAGCCTCGCCTGCCAGAGAAGTCCGGCAGATCCTCACCAGCTACTTGCTCGCCCAGTCGACAATGATCAACTGCGTCGGCTGGCCGTCGTCGATCCTGGCGTCCTCGATCACAAAAATCAGGCAGCCGCCCTGCGACTAACCATTCGGCCTGGTAACCCAAGACGCGTCCCAGTATACTCCAAGCCTCAGCTTGCTCCAGGTCCCCACGTACTTGATGCGGATGCCCACATCTCCACTCGCCTTCAGGAATCTCAGCGGCTTTTGGCCTCCAGAAGACTGCCCACCGTCGCCTTGCTGACGTCACCCTGCGCGAACGAAACCGTCGCCGCCGCCTGCACCATGCACTGAGACGCCGGCCACTGCATAGCCCCACTCAGCCCTCTCAGCTGGCTGATCTCCTTCGGTATGCACTGGGCGTCGGGGTGCATCCTCCGCGTCTTCTCGATCCTCCGGCCTCATGCGCCTGCTTGTTGGTGAGGCCCTCCTCGAGCTCGAAGTTCTCGCCGCCGCCGATGAAGTCGCCCACGTGGAGCCCCAGCACGCCGCCCAACACGTAATGATTGTTGCTATCCGGCTGCCAGACCAGGAACAGATCGTCCCCGTCGAGCGCCAGGCGGTACGACAGGAAACAACACCTGTCCAGCGCGTTCTGCAGGGAGCCTATCTCGAGCATGGCCTCCGTGCTCGTCTGATTCCACTGTCGCGCGGCTCGCACGTCAGCGAATCCGGGTTTCAGCATCTGCAATATCTCATCGTCTTGCAGACCCATCATCTTTGCCAGCCGGCATCGTATGTCTTTCGTCGGTCTGCTGAAGATCTGCACTCCATGTTCTCTGATATCCTTCGTCTGCAGAAATGTGCTCTTGACGTCTGCTGCCACCATTTTCCAAGGACAGCTGACACAGGATGAGCAGGATGAGGTATCGCGTCAGGCGCGTGAGAGTACGGCTTGCCTTCGCCACGTTGGTGCTCGTCACCTCCTCCAAGCGAAAACCTTACAGGATCACCCTCGCGCTCGCCTCGTCACTCCATCCTTCATATCCCACTTCAGCAGGAACCTCATAGGACACACCTCTCCAGCGTCCGCCGTGTGCTCCTTCACTGCCTGCCGTTCCTGGTTCTCGATCCAGGGTCGCGGCGCCTTGTTCTTCGCCTCGTCGAACTGCTTCAGCTCGTCCGCGTTGAGCCCGGCCTCCACCACCAAAGTCCTTCCTCGTCGCGTTGGTGAGGTACCAGGTACACCGTGTCGGCTTCCTGGTATAGCAGAAGCAACTCGTCGCTGTCGTTGACACTCGCCGCGTTCGCCGTCGCCTCCATGTCGATTTGCCTCGGTCGTTTCGGTAGAGGTCGCAGTCCGTCCACGTGTCTGGCCGCGTTGATCCCGTCCAGCAGCTCGTCACTGTGCTCGGGCGTGGTCTCCTCCGCCTTCCTCTTCTCTACTGCGATTCGGTTCGTAGTCTGCTCCGTCTCGACGGGCTCCTGTCCTGACCAAGTTGGAGTCGCCTCGAGGTCCACCTGGACTTCCGAGGACCTGCTGCGCGGTGTCCGGGGAATCCAGATGTGGGTTGTCCGCCTCCTCAGGCACCTGCGTCTCCGCCTGCGTCCCCGCCGCGTCGGAGCTGCCCTGGCCGCCAGTGGCATACTGCTCGGTCTCATGGTGCCCCCTCTGCTGCTCGACCTCGGTTTGCTCCACCTGGCCGTCCGTGTCGACGCCCTGCTGGTCCATCTCCATGGGGAAGTGCTCGTCCTCCTAGTCCTCTGGTTGTCCGATGACTTCGCCCGTGTGGTCCGCGAACTTCGTGGACCCGCTGATGTCCTTCAGCTTTTCCAGCAATCGCTCGGCCGTCGACAGCGGTAGTTCATGGTCGTCGTCTTGTTCCTCTCTCTGCCGTCGCTCTTCTGGTAGCTCGGCCCGTCGCAGCTCGTGCGTCGTCCCTATGAGCGTTCTGCCGTGCACGCACTCTTAGCACTGGCTGCCTGAGAGCTTGTCGTGGTCGCCCTGTGTACTCGATGTGCGCGATCGTCGCAGGCCCCTCCCAGTTGCTCTTGGTGAGGTCGCTCTCGCCCCTGCCACGCCTCCAAGAGTAGACTCACTCGCCAACCTGGAACTCTCTCGGGAGGGGCCGGTTCTTGGCCGCCAGCGCCTCTCCCGTTCCGAGTAAGCTTCGCGCTCTTGACCATGGCCACGGCGGTGTTTCTGTCCAGTGTGCTGTCGAGCTCGGCGTACAAGTATAGTGGCTAGTGTCGCCTTTGATGTAGAAATTGTTCGGAAGAGGGCGAGACAGCAAGACTCCCGTGATCTCCCGCTTCCCATCGCCATCTGCGGTTGCAGGGTTTTGGCGTGCACCCTTGGAGGTATACTGCTCGTTCAGCAACGCCACTTCTTTTTCCAAAACTTGATATCTGTGCTTGCGCCACTGTACCCACTGATGCCTCGGAGGTCCTCGCTGAAGCTGAACGTGAAGCGTAGTTACTTTCCATCCGCCCCACACGCTTCGTCAATAATTCGATATCATGTTTCAGCGGGTCGGTGACGTCCTGGAGATCTTGCTGAGAAACTTCATGTGCTTTGATCGACTGGATGTCGTGCCTGATGGGACCCAGGTGGTGGTTTAGGATTGTCTCGAGGCTCTTGGCGGTGATCGCCTCGGCGGATGCTGCTTCCATGTGCTCTTGACGTTGTTGTTGACGCGCCGCTACACCAGAACAATATTGTTCCATCGGCTGTCGGCTTTGCGGAGGGCTGCCCCCTGTGCGAGGCTGCTTGAGGGCGCTCTTCGTAGGCGCCCCTTCAGTTCGTTTTGCTGATTGAGCTGCTGGTCCTGATACCGAAGTCGCAGGTGTTGGCAAGCGTCCTTGCCGGGCGGGCTGCAAAATCTTCTTGACGGGATTGCTGGCCGTACGGGTTGTCTTTGGCGCGCGTGGGGACGGCATATCTGCGTTCCAAGGTCCAAGGATGCCCAACAAGAAGCAAAAGGACAATACTCGTATGTGGTCGAGGTGAGAGTTTGCAGATTGTCCTTGTAGAATATGCGGCAGTGCCCTGCGGAAGTGTCAGCGGCGCAGCGGAGACAACAATTTGGATCACCCAAATCCGCCTTGAGCCTTGAGCCAATTTGAGCCAGCTTGAGCCAACATGGTTGCAATAGACCACCATCGAGGACCTAAGAGGCTGTACTCGTGCCATTGCCGGAAGAGAACGTAACGTTGTTAGCGTCTGCGTCTTCTGGCTCTTAACTGCGTCCGAGACGGCCCATGAGGCCCCAAGACCGCCCCAAGACGGCCCAAGAGGCTCCCAAGACGGCCCAAGAGGGCCCCAGGACGGTCCAAGATGTGCCCAAGTCGGCCCGAGAGGGCCCCAGAAGGAGCCCAAGAGGGGGCCAAGAGAGGGAATCCGAGCTGACATTTCGAGCCCTCGGCCCCAAGAGGACCCCCGAGTACGCCAGCAAGCCCCCAGGACGCCCCCAAGAGGCCCCCTAGAGGCCCAAGAGAGGCCCCCAGGAGGCCCTCAAGCGGCTCCCGAAGAGGCCCCCAAGGGACCCCAAGATGCTTTACAGTTGCTTGTAAGACTTTCCCGAGGGGCATCTCGGAGTTGCATCCCAGTGCGCAGCTGGCACGCTTGAGCTATTTTGGGGCTGTCGCGGCTGCCCAGGCGCTGCCTCATATAATAATTCGTTTCAGTCCCACCCTGGCTGCATACCCAGGATCCCTTCGAATGCTTCTGAGATCGTACTCCCACCCCTTCCTGACTAATACTCGACAGTGAGTAGGATCAGCAGTTTACGAAGGAGAAGGTTGACGCTGAGGCGGATGATGGGGATGATTCGAAGGAGGAAACCTACCCAGATCCCAGCGAGGTCGTCGTCCAAAGCTATGCCGATACGCTTGAGTTAATCTGGGGTGACATGGCTACCCGGGTGCTGGCTCCCAGGACAGCCCAAGACGGCCCCAAGACGGCGCAGGAGGGCCCCAAGACCGCCCAAGAGGCCCCCCCAAGAGAGCCCAAGACGCATTGAGTGGGCCCTCAGGGAGACCCCCCCGGGCCCCCGCCGGCGCATTCGCGTGCATGTCTCACTTCTCTCCTGTTTGAGGAGGAGGAGGAGGCGGAGGAGGAGGAGGCGGAGATCTTCAGTCGAGGCGCTGAAGAACAAGAGCCACCTCGGATTCAGGAGGGCCTCCGGTGGTCGGCCCGTGCTCCTTCGGTCCAGGCGCCGGGGGGCTCGTTCTGAGCCGAGGCCTGCCGTGGCCAGAAGAGCCCCATCCGCTCCTCCTGCAGCGTTCTTCACGGGAGCACGGTGGCTGTGGTTGCGGGCAAGATTTGTATCTATATCCAGGGCGACTTGGATCGGTCTCTTTTAACCGGTTCCCATCGCCATCCAGACCTTCAGCATCCTTGCACTCCAGTTGGGGACACACCTCGAAACCCGAAGGGAACGGGCTACAGTATATCCCCATCTAGGGGGTCAATCGGCCATCGGGGCCCAGGCCACGTTCATGGGAATAGGGGTCGGTTAAACGATGCCCATTGGATTTTCTTGGAAGGGGCGGCACAAGGGGGAGGTGCACTGGATATGGATGAACATCGAATCTCTAGGGAGCAAATTTATCCATATCCAGTTCGCCTCGGGTTTCTGGGGAAGGGAGCCCAGAACTCCATACTGCAGTTGGTATGGACAGGAGTATTGCCAGCAGTAGCTCGGGAGTGGCAAATCATTCTTTTCCTCCTCCCTTGCTGCGGCACTCTGTGTGCCCTCTCCGCGGGTCGTTGATCTGGGGGCCCCTTTCCCCGCCGGCCCGCCCGAGGCGCGATCCGGCGAGCGTACTACGACAAGCAGAAGATCTGCCACCCCGACATAGCGGGGGAAGAAGGCGCGAAGGGCGGGGGAGCGCAGGAATCGGCCTATCACCCAAACGTGGCGACGCTCGCGCTCAGAAATCTTACATCGTGTGCTTGGTGGAGGGCCGTTTTCTGACCATACCGCCTGGATCAGAATATGCTGTAATGTGTTTATGCTATATATTTCGGGCGTGCACTTCCACGGGGCGTGTGGTACTAGTACGCCCTTCTGCGCCCCAAGGAAGGACAGAGCGTTCCAGCCGTCTCGATACGCCGCATCCAGCAGCAGCCCTGGAATACGTGTCCCAGCTCCGCGGCCGAGGCGCTGGACAGCATTGGTGGAGGAAGGCGAGGAGGTGGAGGAAGAAGGGCAGTAGTAGGAGTAGTTAAGTGGGTCTTTTTGGAAGCTCAGGTTAACATGTTGTAGAGACTACTGAATGTCGCTGAATGAAGGCCACTCAAGGTTGGTAAAGGCCGCTGAAGGCAAATGAAGGCTGCTAAAAGGCGACTGCGAGATGCTCAAGGCCATCCATGATACGCAAACGACCGCTAAAGGCCTGAAGAAGCTATTAAGCCGAGGCGGTGTGCGTTAGAATGAGCTTCCATCGCAATTTAAATAAGAGTAGTAGCTTTGGTAGTCGTAGCACTAGTGGTAGTATTATTCCCACATGCTTAGTGGGGTTCTTGTTTTCTTCCATGCCTCGTCGCACCCGCGCTCACTCACATCACCTAACTCTCCCCCTTCTCACACAGCGCAGCACAGCACAGCACAGCTCAGCACTGCTCAGCATAGCTCAGCACAGCTCAGCTCAGCTCAGCACAGCACAGCTCAGCACAGCAGGGCATAGCAGGCGTGGCATTTTCTCGACACCATTGGGGGTGCGCAGGGGGTGGTCCCTCAGCGCGGCCGCTATACACGACGGTCGTCCAGGGCATAGCAGGCGTGGCACTTTCTTGACACCATAGGGGGTGCGCAGGGGGGTGGTCCGTCAGCGCGGCCGCCATGCACGACGGTCGTCCAGGGCATAGCAGGCGTGGCATTTTCTCGACACCATAGGGGGTGCGCAGGGGGTGGTCCCTCAGCGCGGCCGCTCTGCACGACGGTCGTCCAGGGCATAGCAGGCGTGGCATTTTCTCGACACCATAGGGGGTGCGCAGGGGGTGGTCCCTCAGCGCGGCCGTTATACACGACGGTCGTCCAGGGCATAGAAGGCGTGGCATTTTCTCGACACCATAGGGGTGCGCAGGGGGTGGTCCCTCAGCGCGGCCGCTATGCACGACAATCGTCCAGTGCATGGCAGGCGTGGTACTTTCTCGACGCCATAGGGGGTGCGCAGGGGGTGGTCCCTCAGCGCGGCCGCTATGCACGACGGTCGTCCAGGGCATAGCAGGCGTGGCATTTTCTCGACACCATAGGGGGTGCGCAGGGGGTGGTCCCTCAGCGCGGCCGCTATGCACGACGGTCGTCCAGTGAATAGCAGGCGTGGCACTTTCTCGACGCCATAGGGGGTGCGCAGGGGGTGGTCCCTCAGCGCGGCCGCTATGCACGACAATCGTCCAGTGCATGACAGGCGTGGTACTTTCTCGACGCCATAGGGGGTGCGCAGGGGGTGGTCCCTCAGCGCGGCCGCTCTGCATGACGGTCGTCCAGGGCATAGCAGGCGTGGCATTTTCTCGACACCATAGGGGGTGCGCAGGGGGTGGTCCCTCAGCGCGGCCGCTATGCACGACGGTCGTCCAGTGAATAGCAGGCGTGGCACTTTCTCGACGCCATAGGGGGTGCGCAGGGGGTGGTCCCTCAGCGCGGCCGTTATACACGACGGTCGTCCAGGGCATAGAAGGCGTGGCATAGGGGGTGCGCGGGGGGTGGTCACGCACCGCGGCCGCTATACACGACGGTCGGCGGCTTTCGAAATAGAAAAAAACAAGATGGGCATAGTGGATGCCAAGGCGCAGCTTAACTTCCTCCAGAAGTTTCCCATTGACACCGGCTCGGAACCCGTCGACAAGGATACCGGAGACGAGAAGGAGGGCGACGACGAGGGCGCCGGCGACAAGCCGTTGCGAGCCCCGATGGAGACGACAAGCCCTCTGGAGGATTACCTCTGGCGTGGCGATGAACCGGTGCTGAAGGACACGCCCTGGTACGTATACAGCATGTGGGTGTACCGCATCGAGAAACCCGAGAAGAAGTTCAAGAAAGACGGTGAGCCGGCGAAGCCGTGGCTGCGTTTCATCGACATTCCGTTGCACGAGGAGTACCCATTGCACAATACGCACCTCCAGCGCATCGCGACCGAGTTCCGCGCCCCCCTTTTCGAGGGTTACCAGATGCCACCGAGCACGCGAGACAGTGAAACCGCGGCCATGTACAAGTCCTTGCTCCTGCGCGACATCTCCATCAGCCCGGACAGTTCGTCGGGGGGGATTTCGAAATCCAGGACTGAGCGGGAGGCGGAGAGCTTCGGTCAGCTCTGCTTTGTGAAGGGCGCGGCAGAGGATGGGAACCAGGCGTTCACGCGCTCGTGGCTTGCGCACTCGGAGAAGCAGAGCGTCTGCGCCGCCGAAGGAGCGAGGCGATTCCTGTGCCGCAACGAATACATGAGTTTGTGGGAGACGCAGGAGATATTCGACAAGCTCAATGACATGTGGGAAACTGATGAGAACAGAAACAGAGATGTCTCCGACCCTGCTGCGCCCGCGGACGTCGTAGATCCTGACGCCGAGAAACCTCGTGCCACCGTTCTTCAGTACAGCGCCCTCATCGCACGACGAGTTCAGGCCAACCTCGAAGGATTGGCCAGAGCGCGCGTGGAGAAGCACAAGCGGCCTTACCAGACCGACGCCGAGAGTCACCAGTCCTACATCCTGGCTGCGACTGGAGGCTCGGGAAGACCTGAGGGCGAGCCAGACGACGACGGCCCTCAGGCACCTCCGGAGGCCGTCGGAAATGAGGTGTTCCCACGATCGCGCGGCTTTTTTCAAAGAGGAGGATGCGCAGAGGATCCTCAACTTCGAACATAGACCTCGCCCGACGCCGTACCTGAAGAGTCTGTTGCAACTTCCCTTCGTGGACGCTGAGACAGTGGTGGGTGAGAGTCATCCCAGAGTGAGGCAGTCCAGGGCGGACGCCGCCGTGCGGCGGCGTAGTCATCAGGACCTCCGGAGCGCGACAGTTGAAGATAAGTGCCACCTGAAGCGACAACAGGAAGAAGTCCTCGACGTCAACGCGGAGGAGGACCACGCGGAAGAGAAGCCGGGGCGACTCACGCGCAGAGGCAAGCAGAGACCGCCGACTGCATCGTTTGCAAGAGACGGCGCCCAGAAGACACCGAGCGCTTTCATTCGGCATCTCATATCCCAGCTGCCTCCCGCCCAGCGTCTCACTCGGCGACAGACGCTCTTCATGGCACTGTTCGCGGAGGCCTGTGACAAGGCCTGGAGCGAGGAAAACGAGTTGCCGCCCGAGGCCCGCGAGACCACCCACCTGCTGCTCCTTGGCGCTGGCGGCGCCGGAAAGACACATGTGGTACACAAGCTGGTGTTCGAGGCAGTGGAATACATCTGGCCCAACGAGACTCCCGACTCTCCGTCGATCTTGGTGGTGGCCTCGTCAAATGCGCAGGCGAAGAACATCTCTGCCGCCGAGTGGCAGGCGCGGACTCTACACAACGCTGCAGGCATGCGCATCCAGGAAATGGTGAACTCGAAGATGCGCCCGGGTGACAAGGCGAAGGCTCTCGAGGAGCGGTGGGGGAACGTGGGAGTTCTCATCGTCGAAGAGGTGAGCACGGTGTCCGCCGCCAACTACAACATGCTCGATTTTCGTGCCATGTATGGGCGCGCGAAAACCCACTCGGTCACGGAGAACAGTTACATGAAACCAACATGCAGTTTTGGTCGATGCCCCATCGTCATCCACCTGGGCGATTTCCTGCAGTTGACGCCGACTGCGCAGCTCAGCCTGGTGACAGACGTCAAGGCAAAGGGCGTCAACGGCGACTACGTGCTCAAGGAGCCGCCCAGCCTTGAGATTCAGAATGCCCTAAGGGTCTTCAAAAGGATCACCGGCGTCGTCGAACTCCGCGGGGCCGAGCGCTTCAAGCCCGGCGATCCTCTCAAGTTCCTCGAGTGCATGCGAGAGGGCAAGCGGATCCCTGACCTCGTGTGGCAGGCGTTCGAGGCGACCTTCGCCAAAGATAGCCGCCCCGATGCGGAGCCCGAGCTGGATCCGCGGCACGCAGAACCGAAATTCCTCGAGGGGTACGGCCTGGCCATGCACTGGAAACCTCTTGCGCGCTGGATGAGCGAGAGAGCGCGGCGCGACGCCCGCGTGCTCGAGGCGCCGCTGGTCTTCCTGCAGGCAGCCGACGAGTGCCAGACCACCCCCGCCAATGACAAGGGGGAGACGTACTCCATAATGCTCAACTTTGCCAACATCTACCGCGCAGGCTGGGTCCGCGGTGTTCCCCCCGCCCACGAGGGGATGCGTGTTCGCTTCGCAGGCAAGTTTAATGGATCCCACGGCCTCGTCCAGGAGCAGCGCGCCACCATCGTAGACTTCGCGTTTGAATGGGGGGGGGGGGGGGCAGAGAAACTACAATGACTACAAGAAAAACCGCCCAGGGGAGATCTTCAGACCGATCCATTCCCTGACGGGCATATGGCTGCAGGTGGACGGCTTCAAGCATTTCCCCACGCGGGAGGAGCTCATGAACTACATCGAAGCTGACGACGAGGATGCACGAGAGAAGCTTGCTCGGGGCCTCTTCTGCATGCCCCTCATGGAAACCACCTTTACCTGGGAGGCGTCGTCGGCTGCGCACAGCGTGAGACGCTTCGGCTTCATGCTCACCCACGCCTACTATCTCGCGACGACGGCTTCGCAGGGGCAGATACTGCGAGGCGCAGTGAACATCGATTGCGCGCGCCTGGGGCCCCAGGGGCAGCGCGGCACTGACGAGGGCGCATGGTGGCTGAATCTTTATGTGATGCTCTCCCGCGCTACGCAGATGGCCGACGCGCTGCTGCT